CCGGACGAATAAATTTCCGGAATTCTGGTGGAGATGAAATTTTCGAAGATAGTTTCACCATCTCTTTGAGTTTTGAAACGTCTCTCCTGGTGGAAGTAATCCAGGTGTTTGAAAAGGGACACGCGGTAGGTGAGAGGCCAGGGAAGTATTGTGAGTGAGGCAAAGTTTCGTAGCCCAGCTTGTGCAGCTTCCGCAGGGCTGTTTGTGTGACATGCGACCCAGCGTTAGCATGGAGAATTGACGCCTTTTGTTGGCCAGTGTCGAGCAGCTGTGTTGGAGTTTTCGGTCCATTTCGACAATTTATTGACAAAACTTCTCCACTGTAATGGTTTCCCCTAATTTCAAAAACCTGTGATGGATCAGGCAAGCCGCAGACCACCAAACAGTCATGATAACATCTTTTGGGTGCAATTTCGGCTTTGCGAAGTTCTGTGGAGTTTGCTCACGGTTCAACCATTGAGTGGTTAATCGCCGAGTGTCGCAAAGTATCCACTTTTCCAGAAGCCGGTTTTTGTTATTGCGTAAAGGAAGGGCAGACGGCACCGCAAAACTAAGATTTGTTTGATTTTCATTCAATTCTTGCGCCACGCATGTAGCAAAGTTTGCAACATTCCAATGTCATATAAATGTTTCCAAATTGTCACGTGCGAGATTTGGCATAGTTTTACGTGAATGCGCTTAAAACAAGGCTATTAATTGACCTATGTTCACTTCCATTGGCCGTCCACAAGGCTCTTCAAATACAAGCCTCTCGTAACATATACGAAATTGTCGAATCCCCCGTTGTGCTGTACAATTACGAGTGGTTCCAAGACTAAATGCACGGTTTATGTTATGGGATGGTTTCGCTGCATTTCGACCAAGTTTAAATTGGTTAAAGAAAGCTGTGCGAATTTGTCTGCCGTCCATGTTGCAGGAAAGGTTCTGTAAAGATATAAAAATGTGTTTCGAATCTAAACTATTGCTATTGCTACCTAGAACGCAAGATAGGCTTCAAAAAGATTTACAAAGTCATAGCGACTTATTAAAAATTGTTCAAAACACACATTTTAATATGCAAATCTCAATAGTAACAAAGTTGCCTTCAACCTACCACCAGGTACAGAACTAATAACAGCGCAATTATAAATAAAGAAATCATGGTTCACAAGTTATTCAAGGACACTCCACCAGGGCTGTGAGCATCTCACCGTACTTTACAATTATGTGTGTTACACTGAAAAGTTTTAAGGAGTACACTGTACTAACCCATTCTATCTCGCGCTACAACATTCTGACCGACCTGGTTGCAATGATCGCTTGGGGGGATTCTTGGTAAGTTGCTCGCCTGGTAACGCCTGGATTCAGTTTGTTGGACACTTCAGTAAGCTGATGGTAACTGCTTCAGAAACAAAGCGAGTTCGTTACACCACTCCATTGTCGTTCATCAAAAGCAGAATTAGGAAACACGTATCGTTAAGTAGTACAGGTTGGCTCGCTTACAAAGTCGGTCCCGGTCACGAAACCTGGAGTAACTACCGTCTCCATAACAACCAATGTACTACACTTGTGCGTGACGACCGAGCGGCTCACCAACAACCTTTGGCTTATAAATTTGCCAGCAATAAATGGCTCCGATATAAGCATAGTAATAGTATTCAAAATCTGAAGCACGATACCCCTTACTTAATACGACCGTTGGAGTGGCACAGAACGCTGAAAAAGCAGGCAATACGCTACGGCCGCAGCACACACCGGTCTTCCTACGGGCAGTCCATTAGAGTTACCTAACCACATATATCCTCCTAATTTCAGCGCCTAATTACCTCGTGTTTGTCACCAAAAGTTTGTTGAGGAAACCGTTCTCACTGCGCAGCCACAGTTCTCCAGGAGTCCGTGAAGTTCATCCGAAAGTATTGAACGTAGCAGCAACAGTGCTGACCAAGCCAATAGTGTATTTCTTCCAAACCTGCTTGGATAAATTAATGTTGCCTACCATGTAGGAATATGGGCCCATCGCACTTATGCTTAAAAGTACCAGTCACACAAAGACCGCAAACTATCACCCAGTGACTCTTCTCCCTCCACTCTCAAAGGTGATGGAGGAAATCATCGCGGAGCTTTAGTCGACCAGCTTAAACGTCATTCGGGTACTGATTATACACGGGAGCTGGACGACAAAGGGACAGGGACTGGCGTCATTTATTTGGAATTCTTCGAAGCCATTGATCGCCTAAATCACCGAATTCTACTTCAAAGTCTATGTAGTTGTGGATTCTGTACTTGGGTGGGTCAAAAACTTTATTCATAATTGGCAACTGCAACTTAGGGTTTGGAGTACGGTGTCCGATCCGAATCACATCGAATGTGGAGTGCCACAAGGGTCAATAATGGGGTTGCGTCCGTTTTTCGTGTTCATTAACAAAATTATGGGTCTGTATTTCCTCGGAATTTTGTCTTCTGTTGATGATGTCAAAGGTGGTTGGGGATCGTCAACGAACGCGATCACATTGTATCGCTAGGAAGAGCAACAACTGATTAATTACAAAGCACATTACTTTTCAATGAAAACTGGACAGGGTGTGTGTATGATCACTCCACAAGCTGCTTCAGTTTACTTCGTCTAAGTGCAAGGTGACACACATCCGTCACCAATCAAATGGACTTTGAGGCCATGAACTTCAAGTGGTCACCTAGTAGCGCGATCTTGAGGTATTATTCCAGTATTATTTGAGCTGCTCAGAACTCTCAAGAAAAGCGTCAAAGACTTGGAACTGACACGTCAACATGTTGTGAAGTACACTAGGGTGGTTTGATCTATCCCTCTACCCGCGGATGCTTAACTCATCCGTGCATCCTCATGTGGAATGCGCAATCTAGGCCTGGCAGCCCTGACACAAGAAAGATCTCGTAGCACTCGAGAGTCCACAGCAAAGACCCACCAAGTAAGTCAAAACTTTATTTCCCCTTCCATATCGACTTAGGCTGAGGAATCTAAGCTTGTATAGCCGTCATTACCGGTGCCCAGATAGCGAGTTAATATTACTCGCACGCAACATGATTTTAGTGATAATTTTGTTTAGGCTTTCATCCCATTAGTTCACAAGCTACATAGCAGAGCCTAGTCCGGAGAAGCACCAGACGCATTTCGCCCCATTGTGGCTCGTCAGTGGTGCGCATTCCCACAGTTCCCTACTGGGGATCGAACCCATTACCGCTAGAGGCAGTTGCCAACTAGCCAGCAGCTTAAGCCACTGTGCCATAGGGGATGTTGGCTAGGCTACATAATTTTCAAGCTATTTGGGATATAACACCAACTATCTTCTACTGTCACTGACAGTAGATAGCGTGCTAGGTGATGACGTCCTCTCGCCACACGCTATATCCATAGCATCCGATTTTGAGAAACTTCAACCACAGCCTTTGCCACCCTACTGCAACTCAGACGCGACACAAATTTGACGGACCAGCAGTTCAAGTTGATCACGCAATACATACAGCTAGAATGATGGCCAGAGTTTTAGTATCATCTAGTGTTTCAGCCTTAGAAAGCACCCCCCCCCAAATTACGTTATTTTCCCCCTTACACTGTGTTTTAAAAAGGTCTTAACGTTGCCTTAGCCCAACTACATTACTAGATATTGCCTGTGTAGAGCAACGAAAGGAATAATGTAACGAACGTTGCATAACCGGAATTAGCCCACACAGTAGATGTTAGCTCTTTTCTTTATACCTCTGTGTGAACAATATGATGAGATCACCGGGACGCTTTTCCTTTTATCGCTGCGTTTTTTTGTGCATCATTTTGTGATCCTGGTCCCGGCCATCCTACGGGACTTGCTAAGCATTTGATATTTTACCGGTAATGTACCATTGGTCCATTAAGTGCACGCAGTAACTACACCGACCATGAGTACCTTGTTGGTATACCGGAGGTTCAAGTTGGACAGTTTGTTTTCTTTCCTGAAACACGTTATAGAAGTAACATGGTTTCACAGCACTGATCCAGCATTTATCTCTTACACCAGCCCGCATGAGCTGTTCACCTAGAGTTGCTGGGGCCTTTCTAGAGCCTACAGACCAAAATCAGCCACCAGGAGAAAGTGGCTGCGGGCACGTGCTAGTAGGCGCTTCGTAGCAGAAATTTGCACATATTCCATTTTTAAAGTGAATGTTGGTGAGCGGTATACCATAACCATATCACAGATGTAGACTGCACAACGCTACAAGACAGCATATATTCTGAGTTGTTAGCGTGACGATGCGTTGGGCAGAGCAACGGGAAATGATTATATTGCTACCCTTACTGCGTTGAATGTTGTGCAGAAAGGACATGCTTGGTAGCGAGACGGCGCTGCTGATTGTGTCATTCAACCATATCTTTGTTTCCACGATGATGTCCCAAAAATTTTAGGCTTGAGGGATCGCAACTCGGACGGTTTGATGAAAACGCATTGTAACTTTTGCGTACAAACGGTTGAGGTCTATGATGACAACAACATATACGTAAGCGCAAGCGTTTTCTTTGGTTTTAGTGAATTTCTTACTTACCACCCGAGACCTTTTCGGAATGGTGTACAGTGCACACATCGCTTACCATCCCAGTATCAGAACATGGTGGGTTACCCGTACCTGGTTCGATTAGTGGGACAGTTGCGCTGCGTTCCAGTTTAGAAGTACAGACAGTCAGAGCGCATCAAAATCCAGCCGGTCTAGTTTTTTTATCCAGTGTTATCGAAATTTCGATTTGTCCTGAACATTTGTCAACTACTAAGTACCCTTTCAACCATTTGTTTCTACTGGAGCATGGCCTTGGACCACCTCCGTTATAGTTGGTTAACTTGATGTGTACTCGACAATCACGTAATTGTGTGGGAGTGCTTCTTGGATGTTGCAGGATTATCTAAATAATGAGCTTGGGTTTGCCACACTTCGGAAGTGCGGATTTCGAGAGCATCGTGGACAATACTCGATCTTTAGTATCCTATGAGCCTCACTATCGTTTCTTTTTCTGACCCTAGCCCTAAGGTTTGTCAGGGAAATATGAACAATATGTGAAGAATCCCGAAGAAGGAGCTGACAAAAGAAAATACTCTACTTCGGCACCTGAGTAATGTGTCACCTGTGCTAAGCTGGCCATAGTGAACTGAGTTTGGGTGACAGATGATACAACCAAGAGTTGCTTGTTTGGACTGGATTCCTATGTTTTTACATGTGGGGTCCCACTGTTTCAAATCCTCCAATGATTTGTATTCGCTACATTATGACTCAGGTACATTAGAGAATATTAGCTGTGATTATTTTATACATTTAATGACGGAAAATTGCCTTTTCACATTGTATTCAGCTCCGATTCAGCACGAAACACATCAGTTTTCACTATATCGATAGTACCTGGATGTATACCATGGAGTTTGTACTTTATCATTTGCATCCGTTCCGACGTATTCAGGCTACCTTCGTAGCCTCCAGCGAAGGATAATGACGAGAGAAGACACTAAAAGGTTGTTCGAATCCAGTCGAATAACACACTTTCTTTTTTCCAGCCCCATTTCTTGGTTTCCACTCCGTTTTACGGAGCTTTCTATCTACCAAATCGATCATTTGGAGTCATCCGTCTTCAATGTTTTTCAGGATGGACGGTTTGACTCTAACGCACCACACCAATCGTAAATGTGGTCAGGTTAACTGTAATATAACTAGTCACACTCGGGCAACCGTTTTGCATTGTTGGGTTTACCAGAATGTTCCCATTAGGTGTTGCGTCCGCATACATGTACATGATGACGATTTCTTTGCAAATGAATAGTCTCCATTGCGTGGGGACATTGCATTGGCCGCTTATTCCGGCTAGTGATACTACACCTACCAAGCAGTAACGCTAACGATATTCGGGGAAAGACGACAGTTCCTTCTGCATTGTTACACGGATTTTAAAATACCATCCGCCGTCAAGTCTAATACTTTGGTTTGTTTCGTGGCGAAACTACATCATCTTAATCACTTGAACAAATAAGAGATTCGTTGCTGCGACTAGATTACAAAGTAACCAAGTTTGCGGATAATCCGTACGCAATGTGATCGATTGTTTCGAACTGCTAATAACCGGTCCACTACCACAACGTCATCTAGCTCCAGGAATACCGTTGTGCTAGTGACAAACAAATAAATACCAAAATGGTCAAACGTACGGTCAGGACATCTATTTCACTTCACCACCTGTGTGCAGTTTCTGTGAGAGTACAATCGGTTTCGATAGTCTAAGCCAAAGAATACCCACGAAGACTATCACAGCGAAGGTGCGTCTCACTATCAAACACAGCTCATTGATAAGCTCGAATTTTCGACTGGCCACACACACTGCTTAGTACAGCCATGAATCCGGCCAGGTAGCACCTACCGCCTGGGTGCACTGCTTGCATGACATTGTGGTGATTTATTGCTAACGTATGTGACGTAAACGGGCTCCCCATTTGAACTTATATTCTAACGGTTGTAACACTACATATCTGTCGTATCATCGCCTATTTGTGACATGCGCAATCCGTCGTATCCTAAGTGCCTCCTGGTGTAGTACTCTTGCTTTACATATCCTTGACGGTGATGAAAACTTCCTTCTGGAAAGCCGTAATTCAACTAATGCGAAAAACAAATTTCTCGTAGTAGTTCATTTACCATATAGGCACAACCGTTATACCCATCAACTCCGGCTAACATGTCTCTAGTATCCTGTCAGTAAGACTGCTGTATGGGTTGAAAGTTAACTCGGCGCCTGAAGAATGATCTACGATGTACAATAACTGGCGCATTGGTATTTTACACAGCAATCGCTTCACCGTTGAGGTAAAAAACACACAACGAGTTAAAGTCTACGGGTCATAACCTCCCCGCATTAACAGAACAATTATTGGTCTTTGCAAGGTCAGTACAAACGTACGGAATGTTGCCATATGGGGTGAATGGTCGTCAGCACTTTATCCTTAACGAACGAAAGTTGCTTTCGGAGGCAAATAATGGTAGTTTTAAAGGCTTTACAACGGTTTCTACGCCACACGCTAGTTGCTAATCAGTGGCGGGTACATTTCGGATTTCGCTTGTAATGTGCTAACCATACGTTTTTTCCAGCTAAACTTTTTGTAGACTAAAGCGTATTGTGCTAGTCGATTTCCACTCTCTACGTGAGCAAAGCATTTGAGGAAACATTTCTGAGGACAACATCTGAATATTACCTAGGGGGCGCCCTTTGGTATGTTCACACACGAGAATACTATCAAGAGAATTAATGGAAACTGGAAATTTTAAACTGACTAGCTCGAGTTTCGGAAATGATTTGTTTACCGCCAGTCTGCATGTGTTCCGTGCTTGTACTGGAGGGTGATGCGCCAAAATTTCCATCTTTTCTATTTGATGATTCCCAATCCTAACAGCAATGAAGTGACCCAACGTGCGTACCTAGCAGTCTTGCGCACAGCATGCAAAACGAACGAATGGTTATTTTAGTGCATTCTTAAGGTGATTGTGTCGTCTTCTTAACCGCGTGTACAACAGATGCATGCATTTGTGGTCAGAATGTGTTGTCTAGAGTAAAACACATTAAACTCTACGTGCCTTGTACGACCGACAGCGTTTTCGCTTGCGGCGCTACTGCAAGCATTTTCTGAGAATGTGTATTAGTAAATCGCTTAGTAGGGATACAGCATGCAGTGCCAGTCTTCCACGCAGCATCAGAGTTGTCAGCACTATGCTCGAAAATTGAGTGGTAGAAAACATAGTTTCTGATTAACTTTGAAGAAGCTATACAGCCGCCTGTGTTATCTAAATTTCTTCAGTACAAATAAATATGAAATAAATGGAAACCTTTCCATAGGCAGGTAGGGAAAATGTCAACTGCATGTATTTTTCACAGTTGGCTGAAAAGCTCTTTCAGATGAGAGAGACAGTGATCCGTAGACCGACAGCATTGATGCAACCAAGTGAATGCAGTCGGTAGTCACTGTTAGTACATATATGTACGGTAGTCGTGTAGGTAAGCGTGTCCTCCAATTATATGGACAAAGCTGAAGTCAGATCTATTTTCCATCAAATATTACCCATCATGGGCGATTTTTCCGTTGTCAACTTCTATGCGTCATTCAAGTACTTCACCCGATCAACGGTAAGCTTTCTTTGATGCAGATCAATGGGTTACAATTTTACTATACTGGCTGCTAATTTCCTTCCTTTATGGATCTGGGTCACCTCTAGTAAGTAATTATCCCCAGTCAACATCACCCTATCGAGAGTGCAGGCGCCTGTCCAAGTCCTTCTAGCACATGCGAAGCAGCGTGCAGCGCAAGGAGTTTAAAGCAATAGAAAATCATTGTTGACTAACAAAGCCATATGTTAACAACTTGTATATACCATTTTCACATTAACTTGGACGTTTTGCCAAGCACGTTGGACGTTTTGCCAAACAAATTGGACATTTCACAAACCAAATTGGACACATTGCCGTCTGAGTAGAAAATCCGCAAGGTGTTAGCAAGAAATGAGGAGTAGGTCTACTGGGCGATGTTCAGACCACATTTTGGTCATGCTAATGCAATCGGATTATGCAAGCTCCGGGTGCCACTGCAAATCCTTCTTTTGATCGTGGACCTCGATCACCTCAATCAAAGACGGTGACTGAGTTTCGCTTCTCTTCCCATTGGCATTTGCGCAGGTTATACGCTTGTACCTTTACACAAAAGCTTGTGTAGCTATGTTAGTATTGGAAAGTCAAACTATCGAATAGCGCAGTTCGTTATTACTTAAACAGCTGTTACCTAGCTTTAAAAGATTATAGTGAAGCACTCGCTTGATGAAGGAATTGTGATACACAATCTTGATGTGGTCTGATATTCCCACTAAAGTAAACCATGGCCTATTCGACCACTGTGGTCATGAATGATGAAGCACATAGGCAGAGACGCAGTGATCCCCTGTCACTCTGTGGGCCTTCGCATATTTTGTGTGGGTGTGTGGGCGAACCCATACAGGTGCTGGACTACTGGAACAGTGTGCGCTATCATGGCTCCACCGAAATTAACATAGCTTTAGTGGCCTACTTCTGCAGTTTGTAATAAAAGGAAGGGGAGTAAGGCGTCAGTGTAGGATCATGCCATCAAATTGTCAAGGAAAAACTTGAGATGCGTCGTGTCAGTGTAAAATTCTTGTCTCATTGTTGACTGAATATCAGAAACATGACCGTATTGAAATCAGCCGAAACTGCTTGCAACTGTCGAAGACAATTAAAATATCCTCAAGAACATCAAAACAGGCGATAAGACGTACGTTTATTGCTACGATATTGAAACCAAGCCGCAGTCGTCTCAGTGGATGGGGAAAGGTTCTCCTCGCCTAAAAAGGCACGCGTGAGTCGGCCAATGGTCAAGGTGATGTTCCTAGCGTTTTTTGTCTGCAAAGGCATCGGCCATCAAAGAAATTGTACCACGTCGTCAGATGGTAAACAAGGAAGTCTACCAGGGAAGTCTAGAACTTTTGAGGGATGCTGTGCACAGGAAGTGGCCTGAACTGTGGGAAAATCAGATTTGGTTGTAGCATCATGACAAAGCACCAGCTCATGCATCGTTGCTTATCCGGAGCTATCAATAGAAACATCACTTCTCCGTTGTGCTCCACCCCTTGTATTATCCGGACGTAGCCTCAGCAGACTACTTTCGGTTTCCCAAACTTAAAATCACGTGCAATGACTTCGTTTAAAACTATGGAGGAGAATCAGGACAGTGGGACAAGAGACCTGCATGTCATCCCAGAAAGTGCTTACTCGGAGCCTTTCTAAAATGGAAGCACCGTTGGGACGGTATACTGTCAATAGAGGAGACCACTTTGAGCGGGAAGTTGCTTAAAACGTTGTGCAATAAGCAAGTAATATGTTATGGAGGAAGTTCGGTTTCTTTTTGAGCACACCTCATATGCAAAAGCCCATAGAGCGACAGAGGACCACAGCGTCTCTGCCTATGTGCTTCATCATGCATGACCCCAGTGGTTGAATTGGCCAAGGTTTACTTCAGTGAGAATCGCAGGCCACATCAAGATTGCGCGTCGCAACTCATTCACTAAACAAGTAATTCACTATGGTCTTCCAAAGCTAGGTAAGATTTGTTTAACTAATAACAGACTAAGCGAATCGAGAGTCTGACTTTCCAGTAGTCGCACAGCTGAAGCACCACATCACTGCATGGTACCAACTTCAACGTCAGGCTTCTAAATACAGTCAAACCTGTTTAATGTGGCCACTCAAGAGACCGACAAAAACTGGTTGCCTCTTGCAAGTGGTCGCCATTGACAAGTTCATACACAAGGGCATTAGTCACAGGAGAAATTTTTGGGGCTGTTTATTGGCTGGTCGCCATAGCAGGTTGGACTGTACATGTTTGAATGCAAAATCTACCATGTGAATTAAGGCTCTAACCATAGGGATAATTCCGTGGGCCGTATCCTCGGCTACGAGATGACTGGATAATGGCCTACTTGATATTACACAATCGAAAGCACGTGTGCTGCTCTATACTACAACCCAGCAGTAAGACCAAACTCAGCGATCCCTCTTTGTACAACCGTCTGGAGTGCCGTAGAAATTCCTTTTCTATTCGCGTGTGTCATCGATTGAAAGCTTTCCCAAAATCGGTAGTTTCTGCGCGTACAATAGCCATATTTAA